TACTGTTGGAAGATATGAAATGGAAAATTCCAAAAGTAAATGATTTTATTTTATTCCAAAAATAAATGATTAAATACCCTCCATTCTGAATAATACGGTGAAATTTGCACCACTCCACTCCATCCTATCTGGTATGTGAATCTTCCCTTTTCCAGCATATTTATGCTAGTCCTTCCTACTTGTTAGTCGCTTAGCTTCTCCGGGGAACTGAGTATCGTACTACTTTTGTTCAGGTGACCCTGAATAGTAGCCTAAGGCAAGGGCACAATGCTATATCATTCACTTCACTTCATCTCATCATGTAGACATTGTATCATGTCACATCATCACAAGAAGGGTAAATAAAATAGGGCATTTTGAGAGAGAGAGCACATTCATATAACTTTTATTTTGGTGTTTTGTTATAATTATTGCATTTTATTATTGCTTATTGTTTCTAATCTCTTACTATATCCAGTTTATAAATTAAACTTTCTCATAGGTATGTATGTATAGGAAAAGATAGTGTATACAGTTTACCATCTATATCTATGGTTTCTTTACCTATAGATTGAACCAACAGTGAATCAAAAATATATTTTAGTAATTGTACCTGTAGTGAGTATCTGCAGGCTATAGATGGTATAAGAACTATGTATTTAGCATTTACATTTTATTAATTATTATAAATAATCTAGACATGATTTAAAGTATACAGAAAAATAGACATAGGTTACCATTTTATATAACCGGCTTGAGCATCTTCAGATTTAGGTATCCCTGGAGTGGTTTGGGCATCCACTGAGGGGAAGTCTTGGAGAATATTCTCCATGAATAAGGGATACCAAGTAATCTGTAAACCTTCTGCAAATATCTACTCTATTGGTATGCCAATCTGAATTGCATAAAATTCTGAAGTATGAATTTCCCTTTGGAGTTTTTTTTATACTTGAGCTCTTAAACATATCATTACCTATTGTGCTTGCCTGCTTCCTTCCTTCCTTCCTTCTTTCCTTCCTCCCTCCCCTGTCCCTTCTCTCACTCCTTATCTATTTCTCTGTCCCTTTGTTTTTCTTTAACTTTCTCTAATTAGAAAATGTAGTATAACAATAATATGAAGGAAAGTTTTCAATTAAAAATTCTATTATCATAATATGGAGAGTAAGGACTTTAAAATTTCTGAAGTTTTTTCACATTTAATTTTATGCATGGATTTTCAAGATACTTTTGTAGTCATAGCGTATGTATAATTTGGAGGGGGATAGGGCCTTTCAGCCTGACTGGATTCCTGATTTAGTCACTTCCTAGCTATTTAATCTTAAGCAAGTTTTAAGTGTTCTATGATTTGCTTACTTTGACTTTAAAATGGAAAGCATGAGCCAGGCATTTTGACTCACACTTGTAATCTTAGCTACTCAGGAGGCAGAGATCAGTAGAATTGCAGTTTGAGGCCAACCAGGGCATAAATGCAAGACCATATTCTGATAATAACTAAAGCATGTTTCAGATGGTAGAGCTTCTGCCTAGCAAGTGCAAGGCACTGAGTTAAAACTCCAGTACCATCAAAACAAATGGAAATCACATTAGTACAGACCTGTGACGTTGATGTAAGCAAGAAATGAGTTCATGTATAGAAAGCACTTACAATGATTCCAGATACATACTAAATGCTAGGTAAATGTTTGCTTATTAGAATTTTAAAGCTTTTCTATGTGTAAGAAATGTTTGGCCTTGTGGTTTGGTTTTGTGATACTTAGCAGTTTAAAGGCAGAACACTAATACAGGTTGAGCATCCCTAATCTGAAAATTCAAATGCTCCAAAATCCAAAAGTTTCTGAATGGCATGGGGCATGTTGTATTTCACGCTTTGGGATTAAGGATGCTTAACTAGTAACATTTGCAAATACTCCAAAGCAGGTACTCTACTTCTTGAGCCACACTTCCAGTCCATTTTGGTCTGGTATTTTGGAGATGGGTCTTGAAAACTATTTGCCTGGATTGGCCTCAAACTGCAATCCTCTCGATCTCAGCCAGCCAAGTAGCTAGGATTTACAGGTGTGAGCTACTGGCACCCAGCTTGTCTGAAGAAATTTTTAAAACCAGAAAGCAAAGAAGAGGGAACAACTACATTAACATATATACCATCTAATAAAGAGTATGCCTAATGATGATCCACAGTAATTAACAAAAGTTAAATGATGTTTAGTAGCATTTATTTAAGAACACATGGACATGCGTGATTTATTTCTGCCACCTAGAAATCAAAATACTTGAGAGAGTAAAATATAAATTGACTTATCTGAAAAACCCATATTGAAACATCTGATGACCCTAGATACAGTGCTACTTCTGTATTCAAAAAGCAATTTATAGTAGAAATAGAGCTGATATTCTCAAGAGTTCCCTTTAAAGAATTTTTTGAATACATTATAGGTGATAGATTCCGCAGTATAATAGATGACGCCTGGTGGTTTGGGACAGTGGAGAGTCAACAGCCTTTTCAACCAGAATATCCTGATAGTTCTTTCCAGTGTTACAGTGTTCAGTAAGTACAATTATGGTCTTTAATACTTGATATAACACATTAGTGTTAAGTAGATTTTAAATAAATGCTATCAGAAATAATAACTTTTTTCTGATTTATTATTAATCTTACAAGACCTGTACCTTATAAGGAAGTAATCATAATACATGTTGAAAGGAATTTGATGGCATACCTTTTAGCCCTCTATACATGCTAAGACAAAACAAGAACCAAAGATATTTCTACCTCCCTTACTGTCTGCATTTTGTTTTTAAGTAGCTATACTGTAGATAAGAATTGAAACTATTTTTCATGGGCAGTACTGAAATTAATTTAATTTTTAATGTAATTGTTAAAGCTAGACTATTGCAGTGAATATTAATACCTAGTCTCTTTATTTAAATGGTGTGAATTCTAGGGACAGATGACTAGATTGTGTTTTGAGATACTATTTGTTTACAATATTTACTTTAATTCTTCTTGAAATTCCAGAGTTGTAAAATTCTTGAAGCTTCTCAAGAATTATAGAAAAATGTTTATTTTGTGAGGTTTCCCTTTTAGAGTCTCCATATTGCAGATAAAAGGGGAAAAATAAAATTTTGGAAGTGCTACTATTATTCTTAGCTGTTAGAATAAAGTAGATTAAGAAGTGAGCCATTAAATCAACTGTTTTTTACTTGAAAGATATCTTTGTACTCTTTTCCGTGGATTGATATTGTATATATGCTTGGTTGGAACATCAACAAAAGAAGTAAAACTACTGAGAGTGAGTTTACTACCTTGCAAGTTTCATATTGGTGGACCATGTTTTCTGTGTTAGTGGCTTATTATTATCTTTATGTCAGTGCTGTTGTACTTTAATGGATACTGTAAATGAATGCTATGAATACTATGTTGCCTTTTTCCAAATTTCACCCCCAATTATGGTGTTACATAAAAGTAAATACTTGTGAATTTGATTTGCATTTTCTTATTTTTTAATAGCTGGGACAATAATGAGAGAGAAAAGATGAGCCCCTGGGATATGGAGCCAATTCCAGAAGGAAGTAATATGCTTTTAAAAATGAATTATAATTCTTACAAAAGTAAAATGGCAACAGCATGATGATGGAAACTGATTATTTCTGATTTTTCATCTTATACCTAGCTGCCTTTCCAGATGAAGTCGGTGCTGGTGTTCCTGTGTCTCAGGAAGAACTGACTGCTTTGCTATATAAACCCCAGGAAGGAGAGTGGGGGGCTCATTCCAGAGACGAGGAATGTGAACGAGTTATTCAGGGCATCAACCACCTTCTTTCCCTGGGTATGGCAAATGTGAAAAAATATTAGGAGGATGTGAAGGAGCTAAGAAAGCCAGCAGAATTTTAAATTCTACAAAAGGAATTGCAGTTTATCACTGTATACTTCACATTTATTTCAAGAGGCACAGTGAATCTTGTTGAATATTAACATTTTATATGCTTGGCTAAAATAATAACTGATAAACTTTTTCAACACTCTGGGGGGTAATAGTGAAGGCAGGCATATAAGTGTCTTTTTTTTTCTTGAGTCATTTTGGCTCTCTAGCTATTTCCTGAGCCTGACTTTGGAGGGGTTTGTTGGTAAAGACAGTGGGTGAGTAATATATTTTACCCACTATTCTAAAATATATCACTTGGGAAGTTTGGCATTTATCAGGAAAGATAGAAATATGAAGTTTAACACATTCTCCTTTAATTTTGTTTTGTTTTACCTGATTTGAACCAGTGTATCATGAATGATTCATAGATACTTAAGTCCAAATAAAAAGAATAACACTATATTCATATAATTGAATCATCACTGTTTTAGAAATGTAGTGCTTTGCCTTCCCCTCTTGTTTACATATGAATGTTCATTAACATGAAATGTTAGTGTCCTTTCTAACTACTTTTTTTGGTTATAATAATTTTGTAGATTTGCCAGTCCTTTTGCTGTTCCAGTGGATCTCAGTGCCTACCCCTTGTACTGTACTGTAGTTGCTTATCCAACTGACCTCAATACTATCAGACGGAGACTTGAAAATCGTTTTTACAGGTTTGTTTAGTTTTATCATTTACTATAAAAGTAATTAGTTTTGTGGTTCTTTCTTTCCCTTTTGAGATCTGAATCTGCATAGTATAAAATAATCATCCAAACACTCACCCCAAAATTTCTTCTAAAATATTTAAACATTAATTTTCTTTTATTCAATAGATTCTCCCTCTTGCAGGATGAAAAAGTGATAGGGAAGAAAAATGTGGAGTAAAACATGAGTAGTACAAATTGTTTAAAACAAAAACTACAGTTAATTTTAGCTTATTAAAGTCAGATTAAGTGGTTTATAGACTCATTATAATTAAGATGCTACAGCAATATGGAGCATGTTTAATTGGGGAATTAGGCGAAAGTTATTTAGATTTAACTGCTAGTCCTAAAATAAACTTGGACCAAGTTCTTATCTCTTCAATTTTAGTTGGGAGGAGAATTATTATGGAAGTGCCTTAGAGAGCAGTTCTTGGTCTATCTCTCATTTGATTCTACTTCACCCTAACTATAGTATTCCATGAACTGATTAATCTATCTCTTATAATAACTGAAAATTAGCTGTTATAACTTTATTTATTATACCATTTGATAATACATGTCATGACTAATTACATAAAAAATCTGTCACTTTCTACAATTTAGGGTTTTTTTATTTTTTTGTTCTTCTTGGCTCTTCACTTGAAAACTAAAACTAAACATTATTTTGACTTTCTCAAAACACTTTTTGTTTGTTTTGATTTGGTGTTTTTGTCAAATCACTCTTTATTCACATGTCCTAGGTCAGTGCTATTCCAAGCTTCAATAGCCAGTCTAGTGGTTTAAAAAATTCCTACCTGTATTTCATGTCATGAAACTATGTCATCCTTTTTTTTAAGTGTACATCAGTTATGCTTATATATTGTGTCACATTCATAATTGGAACACCTTTGACATATCACAATTAAGTGCTTAGTTCTTCTGTGGTACATATTCCTAGAATATAACTTAAATGTATAAACCAAGGCTAACAGAGGATTTTTTTCCGTAGGAGAATATCAGCATTAATGTGGGAGGTACGCTACATTGAACATAATGCTAGGACTTTCAATGAGCCAGATAGTCCTATAGTTAAAGCAGCCAAAATTGTAACCGATGTCTTACTTCGATTTATTGGGTAAGAAGCAGTTTTATCTGCCATAGAGACTAACTTCTGATTTTTAAAAATAAATAATGAAATGTGTTTTCACTTATCTTGTTTCTTAGGGATCAAAGTGTACTGATATATTGGATACTTATAATAAAATTAAAGCAGAAGAACTAAATAGCACTGATGCAGAGGAGGTAAGAATTACTGCATTATGAGTAGGAATGAATTCCTCTTCTGTTATTTGAAATAACAGTAAGTGTTACATGTAAATGTAATTGGCCATGAGTAGTGAAAGATTGTTGTATGCTAGCTGAACATCTGCTTATTTTGTATGAAACACTTTGACCTATACTTAGATGGAATATAACAAAAATTTAACAGTGCTATAGTGTTTAGTCAGAGACAGGTGGCCACATAGCCTATGTGACTTAGGTTTCAATGAGGAGAAATTATCACTTTATTTTTCCAACCTTGAAAAAGCAAAATGAGCAACCAGTATTTTAAAAGGCTGTTTATTTGATGGCAATTTCATTATGGATTTTATTTGAAATACATTGTATTTAAATTTTAAGATTATAGATTTGAAAGTATAAATGTTTAGTAGATACATGGAGTTCCTACTTGATTTCTTTACGGAAATCCATAAACATAAACCCGTTTCTTCTGAATGAAATGGACTGAGTATTCTCAGCAGACCTTCACATACCTGATTTGACTGCAGGCTATGATAGAAACAAAACCCAAACTGGAATAATAACAAAAGTGATTAATTCAAAATTGTCACTGAAAAACGTTCATCCCAGAAATGAGTGACTCAAATATGTTAGGTCCTATTCGAATGGCATAAGATATATTTTGTGTTTATTTTGTCTCTATTGTTAATCCCTAGAATGGTAAACCTCTGATGCTGCTATTTTTCTGTTGTTTGTTTTTTTTATTTTTTAATTTTTGGCAGTACTGGGGTTTGAATTCAGGGCCCGTACTCTACAACTTGAGCCACATTGCTTTTTTTGTCTTTATGAAAATGTATCAGACCACAAAATATTCTATTATTGGAGCTACATGCTTCGTTAATAATTGCTAGATGCTATTTGCATAGCAATATAAATGCAAAATAAAATGTAAGTGTCATTTGTTCAAATATAATTAAGGGACATGAGGGCGATCTGGCTCTGACATCTGTCACCCCATTGATCGCCAGGGTTGATTCGGCTGATCTGGGTGGCTAGGCAGGTGTCCCCTTCCTCCCTCATGGCTCCATGTGTGTCCCTCCCGAAGCTGTGCGCTCAGTCAAAGAGGACGACCATCCCTGATAGAGGAGGACCGTTCTTCGGTCAAGGTAGCTGCACTCCCCTGCTCGAACCTCCAAACAAGCTCTCAAATATAATTAAGTAATATTGAAATATAATTAATATAAATAAGTACTATTTACATAGCATTTATCTATAAGGAAAACATAATGCACCAATTAGATATTAGCCTATTACAATCCAAGACAAATAAACCATTTCCTTATACTTTTCTTGAACCTTCAGCATAAATGTTTTAACACAGGATTTGACGAAACAAGAATTCCTTCTCAGACCAGCACTACTTGGGTTAGAACAGAAAATTGAAGCAAAATGCATTTCAACAGCTAAATTTTATTGGAAAGTAATATCAATAACTAGTGAGCTACATTTCTCCTATGCATTACCTAGGTGCTTTGCGATTTACCAGTGGTTTCTGTATCTTGACTCTTTGTATTAACAACAAAGATACTTAAGTGAATCTTAGGTTTAGTACACATTTATATTTTCTCTTTATAAAAGAAATTATTTGAAATAGCACAGATTAATTATGAGTATTTTATAATTACAGTATATTAAATGAGCATGTCATACAATGTTTTTTTAATACTAAAACTTATTTAGATACAAACTTCAGGAGATACTAATTACTATAGCTTTACCTCATTTCCTATTCTATTTTAAAGAGAAACTTTATTTAATTCTTTTCCTTTTATATTTTCTAACTCATGCACAGCATATTCACAAAGCTTGGTGTAAGTCTTCCTCTAGCCTTTGGTTCTATCTGCTCCAATGAGGGAAAGTTAATTGTGATTATATTTGCCATTTACTTGTAAATATCCATCTAATTTGTGAGACTTTGAATGTAACTTAACATTTCCCACTTGTCTCCTTTTAATTAGGATACAGAAATAGTTGATTTAGATTCAGATGGTCCTGGTACTTCATCTGGACGAAGGGTGAGTTAATAAGTGAACTGCTGAGAAGAAACATTTTCAGGTTTCCTGCTAGAAAGACTCTTGGAACTAAGTATATAGTTGTACTCATGACTAAGGTTTATTATCGCAATAAATAAGAATACAGAGTTGGATCATAGGAAAAAAGACACAGGCAGAGTCTGGAGGAATCCATGTGCAGGTTTTCATATACCCTCTCTCATCTGAGGGGGTCATATAGCATACTCTTTCCCTAGCAATGAGAATGGAGCAACATGTATATGATTAGAGACTCAGTCCCCAAGGACTTTATTAGGAACTGGTTATATAGACACACTATGACTAGTGTACACCATAATTCCAGATTCCTAGAAGGAAAACAGATATTTAATACAAATCATATTTTTTACACTGTGTTGATACAGTAAACCACCTTTAAATTTAGGAAACAATTCAAGTGCCAAGTTCCCTAATGCCATACATGGACCAATATTTTAAACAAAGCCCTCCTTGCAAAGGAAAATTATTTGTTTGTGCTTTATTTAAGGTTCTGATTTTCTTAAAATGAAAATTCGGAAAGCTAGAATTCTTGCCATTTCCATGAATGTAATGTCTAGTTTTTGTTTTAGGTGATATCTAATTTAAATTAAGAAACTTTTATTTATTTATTTATTTATTTATTTTGTAGTACTGGGGCTTGAACTCAGGGCCTTTACCTTGAGTCTCTCCACCAGCCTTATTTTTGTGAAGGGTTTTTTTGAGATATGGTCTTATGAACTATTTGCCCAGGCTGGCTTCAAACCAGGATTCTCCTGATCTGTGCCTCTGAGTAGCTAGGGTTACAGAAGTATTTTATCTTATACAATATATTAACACTACAGATACATGAGAAAATCAATGAGTTAAGGGAAGAGCTTGTATATATTTTTTTTCAAATTTATAGGTCAAATGCCGAGGCAGAAGACAATCTTTAAAATGCAATCCTGATGCTTGGAAAAAACAATGTAAAGAACTGTTGAGTCTTATTTATGAACGTGAAGACTCAGAGCCATTTCGACAGCCAGCTGATTCTCTTTCTTACACAGTAAGCATAGTTGTTTAAATAATTGCCAACATGAAAATTTCCCATAGTTTTCAATGCTAACATGTAGTTAGGAATAATTTCCTCTTTCCTTCCCTTCCCTTCCCCTCTCCTGCCCTCCCCTCCATATGTAAAGTATAGTTATAAATCAAATTGGAATTAGTTTCTTTATAGTTCCTTCCTGCTTTTATTTCAGCTTTGTTTAAAGTATTTTACTAACTTCTATACACTGTAGATGTGACATATGTCAGTCATATTTAATTTATATCAAATATGTTATCAATATGGTCACTTAAAAGTAACCAATATACTAATATTAGATTTTTAAGAAGATAAAAGCCCAAGAACTTAGATTTATAAGATCTTATTTTGAGACAGGGTCTCACTATGAAGCCCAAGTTGGTCTTGAACTAGTGATCCTCCTTCCTCAATCTACTGAGTGTGGGATTACAGGCATGCATCTGGAAATGTGTGTGTGTGTGTGTGTATTGAATTACCTTTTAAACAGCAAATTTACTTTAGTTTTTTCAGTGAAAAACATTTGGAAAAGAATATATAAATAAGGAACAATTTATATTTAGTGAAGTTTGATTTGCTTGTGGGAAGTTTGGGTAGAAGAAAATAGTCTTGTGTTTTTCATAGCAGAGAATGGTGAATGAAGAATTCATTCAGTATAAAGTGCAACCAATAATACTATAGTTTCTATTTGTGGAACTTTGAGCCTTAAATCATAGTTTTATTGCAAGTGTTGATCATTTCTAGTGGTGGTCTGGAAATACAATACATGCTTTTTACCACAATAGGACCATCAAGAGCAAGAAGGAGAATCCTCAGAGTCAGTTGTTCCAGAAAGACAAGATCTATCTCTTTCTGAGGTAGGTCTAGGAGTCACTTAATATATGCTGCTGTTTTTTGTAATTTTACTTTTTTTTTTATTTTGTGAGAAATTCTTTTTTTTATTCATTTATTCACATGTGCATACATTGTTTGAGTCATTTCTCCACCTACCCCCCTCCCTCACCCTCTGCCCCCTCCCCCCCTCACTTCTAGGAAGAACCTGTTCTGCCCTTATCTCTAATTTTGTTGAAGAAAAAAACATAAGCATAATAAGGAAGACAAAGCGTTTTTGCTAAGAATAGCTATACAGAAATATTCCTAGCATTGCTTTAATGTACAAATGTGTTACAACCCATGTTGATTCATTTCTAACTGATCTTTACACTGGTTCCTGATCCCCTTCTCATGTTAACCTCGGTCGCTTTAAGGTTTCTGTATTAGTTCCTCTGGAGTGGGGACTTCACTTTTTAATATCTCCATACTATACAGAATTCTGCCTTTTGTAATTCATTAACATTGCCTTCTGCTTACTTTCTTTTTACAAAGGTAAAAGGTTCAGTTTTTCTGGCCATTGTTTATTTTTTTTTTTTAAATCAACATGTCCTCAAGATTTTTCTTTATGGCACCACATAGATGTTTATTTGGTTATATAGATCTAAATCTCTATTGCAGCAGAGCAAAAACCATTAATGACACAATGTTATGTTTATATTACAGCTGATTATTCTCACCTAGATTTCATTTTGCAGGTAGACTTAGTCTTTTATGTTTTGGTCATATTATACAAGTTCCAACATTTTCCTTATGAAAATATTAGTGTATTATAAGCCATAATGTATTGGAATACACTTTTCGCTTTTTAAGACTAAAGAAAATAAGAAGTTATATAGAGAGCAATTGTGGTTTTTTATACTTTGGAAAATGTTATCTCTTTTTTACAGTATCTTTTCTCTGTCCCTTCTTTTGTCTCTTTGTCTTTCTTATTGGAGAAAAATGTGGTGATTTTACTTCTTAGTGATTCTAAGTAGGGTGGTTACTACGGTTTTCACTCAAAACTTATGTATTGATGGTTATAGCATGTAAAGGTCTGAGCTTCAGTTATTATTTCACATTATAACCCTAGGAAAAATCTGAACTAGACTTGAAAAAATTTTAAAGTGGAATCTTCCCTCTCCCATAAATCAGAATCAAACTAAATTCTGAACCTATGAGACAGAAGACCTTAGATGAAACAAAAGTATAACACTGATTAATAATTAAAAAGGAAGCCAGGTATTGTGGCACATAGCTGTAGTCTCAGCACTTGAGAAACTGAGGCAGGAGGATTGTGAGTTTGAAGACTGTCTGGATATATACCAAAACCTTGTCTTAAAAACCTTAAGAAAGGAAAGACGCACAAACATGGCCACTTTGACTTTGACCTTCAACTAATAACACTTTAAGTAGAATGTTCTTATACCTGTGAATCTTGGAAATATGTGGCTAATTTGTGGAGTGGAACTACTCAATTATGCCGGAATAATCTCATCTTCTACTATTATTAAGTAGTTTGCCAGGGTGTTAGAAGTTGTATCAGCCTTTAAGCAATAAATGAAATTCTGTATTATAGACCTTATAGAGATCAAGCCAGTGACTATAGCTTTTCTGTTCTAACCATTCAGTTACTTGTAGTTTGCATCTGCAGTATAAGAGTTAAGTTCTCCCACAGACCCCTAACATTTTTCAATAACCACCAAAAGTTGGTTTAGGGCTGGGGAAGGAAGTTGCCAGAATGAAAAAGCAATGTGGTTGTTTCAAGGTGGATTGCATCTGCAGGTCATGCACTTCCATTGTATTTTGTGGTTTCAGTATTAAAATATATCATGTTATTCTTTATAGGATTGTCAAGATGTTATTGACTCACCTATGGACTTCAGCACTGTGAAAGAAACTTTGGAATCAGGAAACTATGGTAGTCCTCTGGAATTTTATAAGGATGTTCGCCAAATATTCAGCAACTCCAAAGCTTATACTTCTAATAAAAAGTCAAGGGTATGAAAGATAATATTAGCTGGGTTAATAATATAAGCACTAATTATATATAAATATATATTAGACAGTGCTCTTTCAATAGTTTTAAGATTGCTCAACTACAATTCTGATATCGTTACTTAGGTTTCTCTACTTTGTTTTTGGTGGAACTGGAGTTTGAACAGAGGGCCTTATACTTGCTACAGGTGCTCTACAACTTGAGCCATGTCTCCAGTCCCTACTAATTCTCAATGTCTTCTCTGCAATGTGGATTATTTATTAGCCATGCATAATGATCATTTAGCATAATCACTCTGAAATAAGCACCTTTTGTTCTCTTACCTACCTCTTCTTTACTCTTTAGTAACACTATGTCTGCCAGAGAAAAGGCAAAGAAAGTAATTTGAATACCTGGATGTCTAATAAGTGACTTCATAAATATATAGTTGACTGTTAATTTATATATGAAATACTTTGAGTAGGTCTGAATATAAATGTTTCCTTTATTATAAAAAGTAAGGAACCATATTAGGAAGTTACAACTATTCATCCTCACATTTAATATTTCCTTATGTTTTATCAGAACTTAAAATATCTTGAGAAAATAGTAGTAATGATAGTTTTTGTCTTTTGGAATGATTAATTTGTAAATCAGTTATGTGATAGGTATATGTTTGCCTATTTCTTTCTACTTTATAAAATGAATTTTTGCTAATTTTTATAGGCATAATTTTTCACATTTGCTCTATTAACAGTATATAACTTGCATACTTCCAGCATTTCCTATGTTACCAGTTGTACTTAAAAACAGTAGGTTTCATATTTTAAGGCTTTTTTATTACTTACATGTAATGATTTTGAAAACAAGATTTTTGGTGTACCCATTCTATGTTTTTTTAACTAGTCCTGTACTAAAGATTTAGGATTTTTCCAGTTGTTCATTGTATTAATATCTTTGAGCATAATTTTTGTGTGTGCAATTCTCTGATATTTCCTTAAGACAAATTTCCAGAGGTAAAATTATTAGCTGAAGGATGTGTATATCATTAGTGTTTTTGGTACATGTTGTAAATTGTCCTTTAGAATGTTATTCCATTTAAAATTCCCTCTTTTCAATGTATGAGGGTCTTTTTTCTTACCCTTCATAGTATCAGATATTATCTTTAAACATTTAATTTTTTGGTGAAAATAGTATCTTAATTTCTCAAGAATAACTTTTAATTAATAACTAGCCAAGCTCAGAAGGCCAGAAATTTCATGTTCTCTCTCATATGTGGATTATAGACCGAAAACAAATGCAGTAATACTATTGGGCATGGGTCACACACTAAGGGGAGAACACCCACAGGAGAAATCATGAAAGGGAATGAAACCTAAAACTTGAATGTGGTTTATGTGCTCACTGTAGAGGAGCGAATATAGTAATCTTAAACTGGCAGAGGCCACTATGGGAAGGGGACTAGGAAGTAATGAAGAGTTCTGGTAGAGATGAACCAATATGGGTTGTAATACACATGTGCATGGAAGCAATGCTAGGAATCTCTCTGTAGAGCTATCTTTACCTCAAACTAGCAAAAACGCTGTCTCTCTTACTGTCTCTCATGCTTTCTCTTCAACAAAATCAGAGAACAAGAGGGTGCAACAGGTTCTGCCTGGAAGTGGGAGGAGGGGGGAGGTGGCACAAACAAAGTAAACACATGTGAGTAAAAGTAAAAACCATAAAAATAAAAGATAGAAAAAATAAAGAAATAAATGGTGTGCATATTTTGTCTGGAACAATGATGTTGATATTGGTCAAGATTTGTTTATGCCTTTTATTTTTTATATAATTAGTTGGTAAAACAAGACTATAATTTCCACCTTTTCAGATCTATAGCATGACACTGCGATTATCTGCCTTATTTGAAAATCATATTAAAAATATCATCTCTGAATATAAGTCAGCAATCCAGAGTCAGAAGAGGAGAAGGCCTCGGTACAGAAAACGTCTAAGAAGCAGCAGCAGTTCATTATCTAGTAGCAGAGCTCCTAGGTATCTTACATTGGTGCAGCATTTTATATTTTCAAAGTATTTAGTATCTCATTTCCCAAAGTTTATAAATAGTTTGAGGAACTCTCAAGATATTCTTTTTAGAACTCTTGGTGCTTGTGTAATGATGGAGTTAGTAACCCAAAGTATTGTTTTTGTAAATTTTAACATGCTTAAATCTTTTTATTATTATTTTAATAACTGAAGTTTAACTTAGTCAAATTACCAATCTGCAGCATTTCTCTTGAATTTAGGCCCTTTTTCTTTGGTCAGCTTAAGTATTTTGTATCATACTGTCTGTCATAATGTGTTACTAACAGAAAAATGTTCATCATTATGTATTTTTATGTTATAGCCCGAAAGGGAAGCAGAAACAAATGAAGTTGCAGCCTAAAAATGACCAGAATACCTCAGTGTCTTATGGCAGGACTAGTTCTCCTTTCTCATCTCCTGGTAAATACATGTTTTATTTTTGTGTTCTGTAATTTAATACTGATGTTAAGTATATAAAGAGGCAGCATGTATATAGTATAAAGAACAATACATTTGGAGTTAGAAAATTGTGTTTTATTCATAGTTCTACTTACTAACTATGTGAGCCTGGGTTATTAGGTCATATGATTCAGTTTCTTTGTTAATCTATATAAATTTAAAAGTCTTAGTTTGAAAATTCTGTGACTGTGTTAGTTTTACCATCTACAATATCTCAAAGAACTCATCTACAATATATTTACTAACATAAGACTTGAAGATTCAATATGTATTTGAGGTGTTTTCTTGGAAAAGTTTTTCTGACATTTTGTGCTCGAAAGTTTAGTGATAAATCATTTGTTCTCAAAATATTTGTACTTCTCTGTGTGTGTGTGTGGTGTGTGTGTGTGTGTGTGTGTGTGTGTGACAGAGTCTTGCTATATAGCCCAGACTAGCCTAGAACTCACAATCCTCCTGCCTCTGCCTTCGAAGTGCTAGAATTACAGGCATGAGCCACAGCACCTGGCTCATACTTCCTTCTTAAAGCATAGTTTTTATTTTAAAGTAAAATAACTGAAATGGAGTTTTAAAAGCAGCTGTTTTACTTTACTAAAAAAATGAAATTATGTTAACACTACAACTTTTTAAAATGCAAGTTTCAGATGCTGTTGAAGGACTTTCACTGTATTTGCTTGATGATGAAGTAGATGGGCAATTTTCTTCATCGAGCTTCAGTGGATATAGCCGAAATGGAAATAGCCATGAACCAGGGAAAGCCAAATCATTTCGGAATAGAGTTTTACCAGTTAAACAAGGTAGGAAATAAACATGGATTGGGTCATTTGTTCTTTATTTTTTATGATGGAAGATGAGTTATTTCAAAGCTGATATATTATGGTAGAAAAAAATAGTATGTCCTTATACTTAATAAGAATTTTACTGTTGTCAAATTTGAGTCAGATAGGGTAATCACAATTAGGAATAGGCCCATAACAGATTTCTGACAACTGTTTTCAAACATATTTTAGTCTTTCAAAGTAAAATGTAAAATGAGATAAGGAGGAAGAAAAACTAAACATTTTCATACATTAAACCATAGTAATAAGAAAGGGAAAAGATTCTTAAGTTAGTGGAGGCATGACTCAAGCGGTAGAGCAAATGCAAGGCCCTGAGTTCAAAACCCCACCAAACAAACAAAACAACAAAAGTCTCCGAAGTCTTCTTTAAGTAGGTCTTATTTTTTGTGCTACTCCAGTAAAATAATGGGGGCCTGGGTCCGCCCCTATTTCTAACTGTCTTCCTATGATTTTCCAGCCATATAGTTCTGATATTCTCTTCCCTAAGAAGCTGCTATATCACAAACTCAGTGGTTTTCAGAGTGTGCCCTGCCCATTTCTGTGGAATCCACATAGGTACTTCAGGAATTCTCAGAAGAGCCTTCTTCATTTTACCAGGACAGCTGAATTTTATTTCATAGAATGAGCTTTCACGTAACTTTTTATTAAGAACTTTTCAGTTCTTAAAAGAAATCATTGACCTAATTCATTATCATGGGACTTATGTGCAAATATTTCAAGGTTATTGTTACTCAGATTTTCTTATAATTGTTCTTTTGTTATGGACACTTAACATACTCAAAAATTCTAATATGTTCAACTGTTTTGAGTTTGTAAGAATATTAATATGCTTTTTGAAGTATTTGTTGGAATATAGATTAAATGTTATGAATTTTAATGGATAATTAAGTAGCTTATCCATTGTTTTATAAGCATCAAGTTACTTAATAAATAGACTTTGCAAAGATATTTTATATTGGTTATAGGAGAAATGTTGAAACATGTTACTACTTTAAAATAATATTACTTTTTTTTCCTAATTTGTATCTTTACTGATTCATTGCACATTATATCCTAATGCCACTGCCTTCCCTCATTTTGCTCTTTCCTTCACTGGCAAGCTTTTAGAAAGAGTAACCTACACTTTATGCTACTATTTTCTTTTCATTCACAAAATCCTTTATTTTGCAGTCTAGATTTTACCAAAATCACTCTCTAGAATTATTTTTCCTGTAGTCACCAATATTCTTCAGTGGCCAACTAGTGTCCTTAGTTCCTAACTGCTTGATCTCTGTATCATTACATGCAGTTGACCACCTCCTCTATGAATTCTGCTTCCTGGTTTCTATACTGATATTCAATTTTCTTTATTTCTTTTATATTTCTTTTCTTTTGGCCCTACTTGTTCTCTATTTGGAGTTTTCTATTATTTTTAGTCTTCTTCTTTTTGTCTTCTGCAAATAAGGAATTTAATTAACCTAATGACTAAGTTAGTTTTTTTATGCTAATGACTCTCCAAATGCATATACCTAGGCCAAACATCTCTTTATTTTTCCAGTCTCACTTCCAGTTGCTTCCTAAAAAATTTTTCTTCAGTACTTATCATCTTTGTATCTTAAGCTCACTTTTTTTTGTATGATCACTATTTTAGTTAATGGTGCCACTTTATTTCTAGGCATTCAGTTTAAGTCTCACAGTGTTTTTTTGTTTGTTTTTGAGACAGGGTCTCGTGATGTAGTCCATGCTTTCCTCAAACTCTCCATTGCCTTACAGAGTGCTGAGATTACAGGAGTGTAGCATCACTGAACATCACAATGTTCTTTTGACTTCATTTACCCCCTCATATTCAGTCAGTTGTCGAATTTTGTGAATTCTACAACTCTTTAGTATGACTGAAATCTCTTGTCTGCAGTTTCTGTGCTATCACCTTAGTCTCTAGCCAGGTGTATTAGTCACCTTGAGTTTCCCTGACAAGATATCACAGACTAAATAGCTTAAACAACAGACATTTTTTTCTCATAGTTCTAGAGCATTCAGGGTGCACAAGGTTTCTTTTGTTTTTACATTTACTCACATGTATATACATTGTTTAGGACACCCTCCAAAGGGTTGTACTTTTTCCCCCTGGCTTAGAGTGCTACCTTCTTATTGTGTCCTCTTGTGGTCATTTCTCTGTGCACAGAGAGAGAGAGAAAGATACATGAAGACAGATATTTCTGAGTCTCTTCTTCCCAGCAGATTATGTTCTAATTCTTATGACCACATTTAACCTTAATTGCCTCCTTAAAGGCCCCAATCTTCAAATGCAATCACCATTAGGGGTTAGGGTACTAACCTAAGAATATTGAAGGGATATAATTCATTCTGTAACAAACTACTAGATTAATCTTGTAATTGTAGTCACCATATAGCCCTGTCTTTCACCCTTCTAGATTAGTTTCCTGTTTTCCTTCTACCTCACTTACTGTTCTTCTCAATTATCTTTGCTAGTTCTTCCTTACCTTTTATTGGAGCATCCCAGTTTGCCATTCTCAGCCACCTTCTCTCTCTTTCTTTGCTCTCTCAGTAAACTCTCCAGTTGTCATGAACCAAAATATCTCTAATAAAAATTCCTAAAATTATATCTCTAGCTCCATCTTCTTCTGTGAGTTCCTGCTTTTTCTTCTTTTTTGGGATGTGTGTGTTGAGGGTTGAATGCTGGGCCTCATGCATGCTAAGCACATACCTACCATTGAGCTACAACCCCAGTCCCTCTTTATTTTTCAGTATCATTCCTTAGACTTCTGTTAGTATCTAAAACATTAAAATTAATTTTTTTCCAGCAACCTACTCAAACTTGTTATTCCTTCAGTCTTCTCCAACTTAGCAAAATTTCTTAATCCTTTACCCAGTTTCTCAGGCCATAAAACATAGGAGTCAACCTTTATTCTGCACTTAGCACCTGATATCAATCTCTCAGTATGTCTCATCAGCTCAGCATTTAAAATTAAAGATTTATTATGGTGACCTCTCTAGAGAGAAGTATTCTAAATCTCATCGCTTCTCATCACCTGTATTGGTAAATCCTTCATCATGTCTTACCTAGACTACTGCAGTGGACTCTCAACAGATCTCTGCTTCCAATTTTGTCCCCTCTACAATCGGTTCTTTATACTACAATGATAGTATTCTTTTAAAAATGTTAATTAGATGCTTTGTTTCTCCAGCTTAAAACTTTCCACTGAGAGGTTTCTCATTTCTACCATTCTATTTTTCTTTTCCACTCTGTTTATACTGATTTTCGTACTGTTTCCTCTATTGATGTTTTCTTTCCCCAGATCTCACATTACTCAGTTCTTTCTCTAAATTATACCTCTGCAGAAAATTCTTCCCTATCTAAAATAACATGTATACACACAGTCTTTGTATCCTCTTTTCTATTACTTTATAGCATACATCACTATATGAAATTATATTATTTATTTAGTCACCTCATTATTGATTAAGCTGTCACTATTGACATATAAATAGCAAAAGCAAGAGCTCCTAGCTATGTCTGGCCCAAAGTAGGTAATTAGTAAATTTGTTGAGTGAATGAATGGAACTGTTCTGATTCATGTACTCACATAATTCTTTCTAAAAATTAGTCCTTAAAATTTTCTGCCTAGATAACCTCACCAACCATCAGTCTAACCACATTCCACTCTCCTTTTGACAAAAAAGCAGTCAGACAAAAATCAAAACTTCAGTATCTTCCATTTCAAACAAATTTAAGCTCCTATTCCAATATTTTCCATTTGGACACTATTTTTTATTAAACTGTTTATTTTACTTCTGAATCTAAATGGCCATCTTTTCAATATTAAAGCTTAACTTTTAAAAATCTTTGATTTAGATCACTGCCTTGATGGACCTCTTACAAATGGTGATGGCAGAGAGCCCTGGACAGGAGTCAAGAGAAAACATAGTGCATCAGAAGAAGATGAAAGCATGGGAGGAGAAGAAAAAGAGATAAAAGAAACAAAAGAGAAATCACATTTATCCTCCTCAGAGAGTGGAGAGTTAGGATCCAGTTTAAGTTCAGAAAGTACCTGTGGTTCTGATTCTGACTCTGAATCAACTTCCAGAACAGATCAAGATTATGTAGATGGAGACCATGACTATAGCAAATTCATACAAACCAGACCTAAAAGAAAACTCAGAAAACAACATGTCAATGGAAAAAGAAACTGGAAGATGAGAGGCACAGGAGGAAGAGGCAGATGGGGAAGATGGGGTAGATGGAGTAGAGGAGGCAGAGGAAGAGGAGGCAGAGGAAGAGGGGGTCGAGGAAGAGGTGGAGGTAGTACTAGGGGAAGAGGGAGAGGGAGAGGGGGAAGAGGTGCTTCTAGAGGAGCCACCAGAGCCAAACGAGCACGTATCGCAGATGATGAATTTGATACCATGTTTTCGGGACGTTTCAGTAGACTTCCTCGAATTAAAACAAGAAACCAAGGCAGGAGGACTGTTTTATATAATGATGATTCTGATAATGACAACTTTGTGTCCACTGAAGATCCTCTGAATCTTGGTACATCCAGATCAGGCAGAGTACGTAAAATGACAGAAAAAGCCAGGGTTAGCCATCTCATGGGATGGAATTATTAACCATTAATAAATTTAGAATAATTTAAAAAATTCAATGGCCTTCTACTGCAGGGAATTTACCAGGAAATCTACAAAGCAAGTTGTGTGGGGACTTCTGCTTCCTTTCACATTGGTGCTTTTCCATTATGCCAGTATACATTTGTTTCAAGACTTTTGATCTCCACACTTCATTTGTTCAAACAAGCCTTACTCATTAGGCCTTAAATCAAAAGAAATTCTGCCCATACACAAACACACACACACACACACACACACACACACACACGTGCACATACGCATGCACACACACCATAGACACTACAGATTTACTACATTAAAGGAGCATTCTGCTTCTTAAGGGTAGCATGACATTTTTATCTCAATGAAATATCCCTCTTTTGCTTTTGTATCACAGACGTATAGCACCTTCTTACAGAGTTTTATATAGTTTTTTTTTTTGCCATTTTGATTCCTATACCCAGTAATAATAACTTTTGCACAATACACCAATCCTAAAGGCAGCTATTAAATGTTTACAGTTTCTATATTGTAAGAACGATCTGGATTATTTTACGCTTCCCAGGCCAAACTTTCATGAACTGTACTGAACTGAAGTATATATTTATACTACAGTTTTTTGGGGGGTGGGGGGTCTTGATATGCTTTTCATTGATTTGCTTAATTAACGTTAAAGGTGAGAAAGGGTTGGTGCCTTGTAAATATGTAGCGAATCATTGTGGTGTGTCCTGATGTGTGCATTAACTTTATTAAAAGAGAATACTTGAGGTATCAATCTAGACAAGGTGCCAAATGCAAAAGTTTCTTGCATCCCTTTTCTTTTTCCTGTTATATTTTATTGCATTAATAAAACTTGTGTAGCTTAAAGAATAACTTAAACATTTGAAAAATCCTCATCCACAAAGAATAACTTCCTTGAAGAATAGTAGCTCAGCTACCTCTATTAAAACTACAACTACTGGAAATGTTAAGAAAAATACATGCTGTTACTCATTACTAAGGAGAAATAGAGCAAGCTTGGTAGAAATGAATACTCTTAAGTTATAAACAGAGAGGTTGTTAATTATATTGGCTGTCAAATTAATAGCTGTAATTAACAAAATTTATTAAGCATTATATGCTCTACCATAGGCTTTCTTAGAACATATTCATGTGAGTAGATTTGGGCTACTGCTAATACATCTCTGCTACCACTTAGTATTTCACAACTGTGAGTTACTGGTTTTCATTTAAATCTTAAAATGAAACAAAGCACCTAATTTGAGTTGGGTTGTTTTGGCTAACTAATGTTTTGAATCAGCTTTAATAGGTTCTGTTCTCATCATTCCAAAGGATTCTTCTGTTCTATTCTTTCAGAAAAGAACCTCATTGCACTGCTCACAGATTTTGAATCATTATTTTATTGACAAAAAAAATCTTCAAAACCCTTTCGATCTTGTTTACAGCAGTAGAGTGAATGTGATTACATAAGTGATCTTGAGTTCCAAGATCAGTTTTACTCCTCAAATTTGAGATTGCAGATTTGGTAACTTGTTACTTAAATTTTTGAAATAAGAAGGATAATATTGATCTCTTTATGTAACAGCAAATTTGTCACACTTAGATCAAACCCATGTGATAAAATGGACTTCTTGATGTATACGTAGTTATCCCAGGATATTTCTTAAGCTAATGTGTTATCCCAGGATATTTCTTAAGCTAATGTGTTTGTTTGTCTCATGCTTTCAATCATTTCATGCATCTGAAAATCCTTAAGTGCAGAGGAAGGAGTACACACATAACTTAGCTTTTGGGGTAGGGTTGGGGTGGGAGTTATTCTTGTACTAACATCTTTAAGCAGTTTTCACTTGCAGTAGAAATGTTGTTCAGGCTTTAAGAAAGTATTGTGTATTGTTAATGGTACTAACTTCTGTTACTAGACAGTAGATCAATCTGATACTTTTGTTGTAATCTTTTTTTTTCACTAAACCAAAACTATTTATGATTATAAGTCAACTGCCATTTTAAACCATAGTATAGATTCAAAATGTTCCTATTTGAAACTCTACATTTGATTTCTGTAAAATATAGTACTTCAGTTATTCATCTCTTGGGCATTTAGATTAAATTGTGTCTGTGTTTTCCTGGAATTAATAACTCTTTGGCCTACCCTAATCAAAGTAACATAGTTGCTTAAATTCCTGGATATACCCAAATGTGTATGTGTATTATTTTAGTGTGAAATTTTTTGTTGCCATTCTTCTGTGAAGAGCTAACCTCTTAGAATGTAGAAGAATTGCCATTTGTGTGATTTTAGCTATTTGGAGCTTTATTTATAATTTATTTTGAAAAACAAAAATGCCACATTTATTCCCCAAATGTCAAGATTCTCTAGGTTTAGGTAATTAGAATGATAAGGCTGAAGACATTTTTAAGCTTATTTTATATGTAGTGAGATACTGTGAAAATATTAGTGAACAGCATTTGGCTGTAATGTTGATTTCAGTTATTAGAACTTAAAGAGTTAGTCCCTGGGGTATGTTAGGTGAGCATAGTTACCATTTATTATAAAACAAACAGATAATTTTCTGTTTGCATGCAAATTATTTTGATAAGTTTGAAAATAAAAGTCTGGGAGATAGTATTTTTACTTTTTCATCTGGACTTCTCCCCCCAAATTTATATTTTGCCTTTCTTGTAGCACCACCTTCTGTGAATGTGTCATAATTTGTATCACATTGAATACTTTATCACTTTAATTTTCTAGAGACCCTTTAAACCTAAATAAGAACTGGGTTCAGCCATAACAAAGCAAGTAGGAAATAAACTAAGAATTCTGCTAACAAAAATCACTGTTACATTTAGACCCATGAGAGCATACACATGTATAAGCCTAATCCTATGCTAGAAATGAATAGACAGTAAGCTGTAATATTTATCATGAATGCTAATAATGTTTAAATTCCTATCTTTAAGATTTTAGCATGTGTATATATTTATAAAATGTGTGTTTTCTATGGCTTGCTGTATGTATCTCATCCAGCAATAGGATGCTCTCTAAAACATTCACCAACCTACTAGCCTAATGACTAAATTTGTTTTTGTATATGTGTGTATGTGATTGTATATATGTAGCTTTCCCCCCCAACTTGAAATACCTTATCTCAGACATTAAAAAGAGAATATTTTATATGGAGAACACTGACTACCAATTCTTTGCCTCTGTAAGGCTCAGTCTGTGCATGATCATCTATTTCATTATGCCTTCTCAATAATCCAGGTTTTGTCATGTTCCTGTATCCTTCTATTCTTTTAACTTACCTTTTATTTTCTTTCCCTCCCACAAAATCAAGCTTGTTCTAGAATTCTTCTGTACAGTGCTTTGTTTCTCCCAGAGGCAAAGAAACTCAGTAATATTCTTAAGTTTCATTCTACACAGTTATATGTTCACATGTGTAACTCAGACTTCCAATATTTTGAAGTAAAGCTGAGTGATTTACCTTTTGTTTTTGTTTTAATCCTGTAGATTTTCATTAGACAATAACAGAGTGATTGTAACAGAAAGATGTGAATGCCACTTCTAACTTTTTGATAAAACTTTTTGAGCATTTTTCAAAATTTGTATGTTTGTGGTAATGATAAACACCTTATTACTTACTCATGTATCTCTGGAATCATTTCATGCACATTTGCCAACTGGTACTTACCTTCAAAGTTGGAATTTCATATCCACAAAAAGGAGACTAAAATCATGTAGTTTTCATTATACTTTGATGTCCAACCTTTTAAACAATTATAATACCATTTTGAATTCTGAAATGAATTCTGGTGGAAGGGATGGGACTTTTGACATGTAAAGTTCATTGTTTTAAATGATAACCCCATCCTCAACATTTTTGTGGTACATGAGGCTTTATTAATGTTTTATGGAAAATAGGGTATTCTGAGATCACTTTTAAGGCTTGTTTTAAAAATTTCCAGGAATTATTATGCTTTTTTTGCCTAGCAAATTTTATTTACCAAGTTCTGATTACCAATTTACAAAGTTTTGGTTAAAATACAATACAAAATTTGATTTTTTTCGTGGTGCTGTGATTTGTGGAATATAGATAACACTCAGGTTTCCTGATATTTATTTCTTATATAGCCTTTTCGTTACTTCTTTTTTCATCTTTCTTTTTCTGCTTGCTTTTATCCTTACTTAGTTTTCTGCAATGGAGACTACACCTAACTTAGCACACTTCGACAAGACTGGAAATTTCTGATTTATTGATGGGAGAAGTACAATAGAAAGGTCCTGCAGTTAGAATTAAGGGGTGTGTGTGTGTGTGTGTGTGTGTGTGTGTGTGTGTGTGTTTATTTATATGTGTTGTCCATTTGTTATTCTTATACCTATCTTAATTAAATCTAGAATATGAGACTTTTGACATATAGAAGCAGGATAAGTATTTTCTAAAAGAAAAAAAAAACTATTGATACATACTGAAATTGCCCTTGGTAATTGACCTTTAAAGTCTCATACAGAAATATGTAGAAACCCAGTTGGGAAATGTGTTTTTACATATGTCACCAAGTATACATTAGGCAGTACTACAAATGTTAATTCTTTGAACAATACTGTGGTGATGGCAATCAGTAATTTATTTCTTTGTCCTGTAACTTATCATCCTTGTCTTTTGTAACCCTTTACACAGTATTAACAAAACTGTACCTTAATGTTTGTTCTTAGTATCCACAAATTTTAAATGGAAAAACATTCAGTTAATAGTTTATGTGATATTGTATATGGGCAAAATGTCCATTAAACTAAAATTCAGTAAAAAAGGTAAACTAAACTGGCTTGGTTTATAAAAGATGTTTTGTTTGGCAGTTGTTAGTCATTATAAGCAATTACCTTCAAAGATTAAAACTGGATTAATTTGTTGCCATTCTTTATGGGATGTTTACAATAAAATTCCAAGTTGTTTGGAATCAATTGCACTCTTGCTACTTTATGCCTTAACTCATGTACCAGAGATAAATTAAGAAGAAAGAAATAAGGAATTACCTTTCTATTATCCAGTTTTAGAGATTGTAACATGGAATTCTCCGGTCTTTTCTTATTTCTTTGTCATAGAATATTTTATTACTACCAATTTTAATCTGAAAAACTAGGGTGCTTCCTATAAAAGAAAATATTTTTCTCTAGTTATTGCAAATATTCTTTGGTCACTTTTAGGTAATAAGTATGATGTTAACACTCTAAATGTGGGCTGCTTGATATCTTAAACAGCAGCCTACAAAAGCACTAGTCAGCGCTTTGTTTTATAGAGCTTTTCGAAATGCATTAGATTTCTAATATATTTATAGTTTATAATTTTTAACAGCTGAGCAATGGATCGCTGACATTTTTTATTTGTGGTTGAATTGCCTACAAAGTTTAACTATATTGTAAATGGTGCTTTAATTCAATGTGAGTGTAGGGTGAGGAGAAATAAACTGAGAGGTGACTTTTGAGCCAGGATCTGAATGTCCTAACAGAAACATCAATCCTAGTTCTGAACCTATACAGTTACCCAAAATTTTTCTCTCACTGTCAAGAATTCCAACAGATTGAAAAAATATGCTAAACAAAACAAATATGCTATTTTTTGTTTTTAGAATCAAGAAATAAGATATTTAGAAATAGATCACCTTCATCTTCTGGCATTTGTTCTAATGGCTATGAAAGTACCCTGATTTTTCACAGTACTCAGATTGAGGTAGAGGTACTTGTTTGGTAATTTTGGTTAGTTGCTTTATTGGTTATAGATAGCCTTCTTTTAAGATGTAAAGTGTTACATTAAAAAGTATTTGTTAGCAGGCTTTGATGGATTCTTACTTCACCCCCTAGATTCTTTAAATAGAAAAATTAAAGAATTCATATGGCTATATTCAAAAAATCTATTTTTCTTAGTTGAGAAGGTCGAAAAAGTGCTCTCTGCCCTGTCTCTCTATTATATACCACCCACTATTTAAAGCTACTTTCCAAAAATGCACAAAATAAATTGAAACCAATACATTGAGCCTGTGAGTTTATTTTACTGGGATTTTTGGTGGTATATTTAAGCCCCTACACTTATGTTTATGGCCTCAAGTGTTTTAAATTAGTGCTTAAGGGATTTTTATATGCTGCCTAACACCAAATATAATATTAAATAAGTGAAGTTTTGGTCATTCTCATTCTCTTTGTAGAAGATAACTCACTTTCAGTCTATTGAAAGTGTATTCCTTTCCTAATAAACTTTACTATCACTTTCACTAAAAAAAATGTGAAGTTTTTTATGGTCTCAAAATTTTCCCCAGAGTTTTAGTGCAACATTTTTCTTTTTCTTTCCTTTATAACTCTAGTAGCTTTTCTTTTGCCTCTGTGGCAGTTGTCTTAAAAAAGTTACTTATCGCCTGC